TTAAAGTCTCGATGCACACAATCGTGTCGAGTGTACAATAAAATGATGCCAAACGTGGGCGTGTGATCCGTGCGCGGCTGAGAGATATTATTATTATTGTCCGCACGGCGTATCCTCTACACAGCGATTTTAATATTATTTTACACATCCACCCGCCTTCCACACACACGTATTTAAAACATTTACACACATTCAGTACACGCGGGTATATACAATATGATACAGGCAGCTGTGAGTTGTGACACTCTCACTCGGTTCGCGACACTTTCACCCTTTTTGTTGTTGGTGTACATTATATTATATTATACACACACACATGAGAGCGCGTTATCCATTATACGCACAAATAAAATAGGTACCTATAATAAAGTACCTACTACCTATCTTTATGTATAAACGTTGCAACAATAATGGGTCGTCGGGCGGCGAGTCACTGCGGAGATGTAATCCTTAAGCGACCGCCGGAGGATATATGATAAATATGTAAGTGTTAAATAGAATAAGAAGAAGAAAATATAATAAACTGAGATAATGAAAAAAAAATAAAAAGCAATTTACCAACTGTTAGTGAGGCTTGTATCACCTATATATATATATAATATTATAATACACGCGCTCGTTGTGAAATTCGATACTTGGTTCATTGTGCCTATTTAATTGAATTTGTCCGGATCCAAATTAAACACGAAAACTTGCGCACTCACAAACCTCTCGTACACGAGCATGGACGTGACAATGGCGACTTTTCCACGAATACAAACAGATCGAGCCTGATAACGACGCGGCGCCGCCGTAATCTATTGTCGCAAACTCGCAACGACACTATACATACATACATTATGATTATATATAATGTTTAAGTATATATCTCCGACATCCGTAGTATAAACCTTAGTCGATTTTGTATAGGTTTCAAAATATAAATAGGTAGAATTCGTCGTCGTATAAAACTAACCGCGGCACTTTCCACTTTCCGTTTTTTTCTTTTCTTCTAGAACTCGCTCTAGATCGATCCCTACGATACGCGCGCGAGGGTATACACACGAAATTCGTCAGTCTCACATACTAGATACCTATACCTATTTATAACAATGATAATGTCCATTATCCTACATTATACTTCGGCAGTCGTGGCGAGGTGGCTTCGTGTCTTCGTTATAAATACTTATAATAATGTTATGTAGCCATATTATTATGGTGCACACTATACAGTATTCTCAGGACAACGCAGAAGAAACTCCGATATCTGTGTACCAGCATAATATCATAATATTATGGCGACAAAAATCGGAGTGTGGAGTGAGCACTTTAGTAGTGGAGACCGAGGCTAAAACAGGGTTTGACACACATCAATTAAAATGTATGTTCTATTATACACGTGATATAATAATATCATTATTCATTGTACCTAACCTTTATACTTTTATACAGGCTTAGATTTGTTTAAAAAAGTAATTGTTATACCTACTAAAATGATTTACATAATATTATGTCTTATATGTAAAATGTGGTGTTAGCAAATTATTTAATTATGTTATAAGTTATAACTTACAAATATTGTAGGTTTATAGTGGACACAAAATTAATTTTTTAAATTTTTATTTTTGCACCAAGTTCAGGTAACAATTTATACAATATTTAGTATAGCTTACACGTTTATAAAGCGATACAAGCGCATTTGACAAATTATAAAACAGAAATAAGAGCGTGAAAAAAAAAACAAGACATGAAAGTCTGACACTCCCGCGCCGCGTGTACATGCAAATACAATATAACGTACGACATGCGAGTCATGACCGCGGTAACCCGATACGTCGTTTTCGTTGTACACATCAGACACGCGACGACTATCACTTTCTAGTTTTTGACATTGAGCCTAACCCTCGCGAGCACGTCACCCGGTGCTTTCGTTTGGTACTCTGCTACTAATGAGGGCCCACGCGTCCATCGACGTCCGCTTTTTCGCATACCCGTTTGTAATGTACATATATAATAAAATATATATCGTTATTGTGTTGGGGATAATAATATATTACTTACGTACACCGCCGCCGACTGTACACACATTGTGGTATTGTACCGATAGTGAGCTGTCGTTTGGTTATCGTATCGCAGACGAGATCGATATACGCAGATCGACAGTCGGTACATTGGAGCACCAACAGTGACATGCATTCGACATTCCGAGGCGTCATCAATCGCGGGGAGAGATATCGCGCTTTCCCCCCCGATTTCGATTTTCTTTATTTTCGTTTAATTTTGGTCTTCATGTGCCAAACTCGAACTTCCTACTTGACCCCGTCTCTCTGCTGACCACAGGCGCCGCGGCTATCACCCTCACACCCGCGATCCATATGGTTTTTTCCTAGCTTCTCCAGATAATTTAGGCTTTTTGCCGCTTCTACCAGGTTCCTCCAAAGACAGATCTTTGTTGTGAATATCTGATACTCAAATTCTAACGGTATTACCTACTTGCAGATTTAAATCCATCATTATATCGTTGCCGCTGTTTTCCTCTGGTGCGTGTTCTATTTTATTTAGTGACTAGCGACTAGTGCTTGGGTCTCATTAGACTATCCTTATCGGGACATATACATCCGGTCCATTCCAGTTTACTCGAGACTAAACATTTTGGATATTTGGTCCATTCTCTTAATATTTTCATTAGTTCTCCTTTCGTATTTCCCCCGTTTCCGTCCATGTTTCGATCCATATAATATAATATATTCTATACCTAATAATATATAATATCGTTTATGATTACAGCGAGCTTCCAAGCCTCCTTCGAGGGGGCTTTGGGAACATCATGTGCGTCGTATGAGATTTAAACACAATTTGTAGGCTCGTATAGTAATGTCCATATAATGCGAGGTAAGTACACGGGTAATACTGGAGTTTAGAAATATACACACACTCACACACACAAGTAAATATAAGCGCGCCCGTTAATTAGTTTTTTACGCCTATACAATGCGACGATAATGATGTGCGATGGAAAACGCGTACCTGTGTATTGTATATATTTACGATTTTATTATGTTAACGAACCGGAACAACTTTCTTGTACGGTTTATTATGTTATTATTGTTATCCGCGGCGGTGGCGACTCTGCTGCTGATCGATCGGTTTTCAACGCGACAAATATTATATGATCATCGTCGCTGTGATGTTATCATATCCTGGTTTTGATGAAGAGACTACCGGTGTATAGTGTTTGTCGTTCTGATAGATCGATGATGACAATACGGCGCGGGCACGTAAAAGTGGATGCGCCGCACAATGTGACAAGAGCCTATAATATTATTATACCGTACAATGCGTGCGCGCCATAACAATAATATCGACATTACTCGACGTCTTTAAATTCGCAAACAACCCAATTCGAACGATAGTATATTATTATAATGTACAAACACCCCAGCTAGTGGCACAGTGATTAAATTTATTATTTTTTCGTTTTGTCTGACACTTAAATTGTATAGACGTTTTTAAAGTAAAACAAAACGTTATTATTATTATTGTATGTTTTGTGGCCTCAAAAACGATATCATTATTGTTGCGTTTAGATTGAGAAAAATAATACAACAAAAACGATCAAATAATGATTAATGTGTGTTAATTCGTCATTGTTTTTACTGTACAAAGACATCATTATACTATTAGTATAGTTTATGAAATCGTTTTAATAATATTTGTTTTTCGTCGCGAGGATTTTAATTTTTTTTCACCGCAAGCATCATCATAGTATTATTACTTATTACAATAACAATAATAGTAGCTTATATAACTAATAACTAATAACTAATCAAATCTAAAACCGATGATTAGGGCCAAGGGTAGGGAAAAAAACACACATTTTTTCCTTGGCCTGAATTACCGATCGGCGACTTCGAGTGCAGTCAAATCGAATATTTGCAGAAGTATAATTGGATGGCGTACAAAATACAATGAAAATATCGCGACTATGGTAATAATAATATTATTATACTAGCACACGCCTGACAAAAATTATATAGGCCAACCGTAATGCGTGCACGCCCAGCGATAACTGGTAAATCACAAAATGGCCGTAGTCATAAATGCTCGTATCAACATAATACATAATATTTATCTTAATCCGTTATCATGCAAGATATATGATTTGAAGATTTTACATACGGTTATACGAATGAAAATAAAAGAATTAACCTCAAAAGAAATCCGTAAACTCATTTTTTTTGTCTCATATAGTATTCTGCAATATCCAGCTACTTATTCGGTAAATAGAAACCGAACGAAAAACGAGTATAATAAATAAACCTATAATCCTATTTTTTATTTATATACCGTGTACCTATATACAATTATAGTAATAACAATTTCGACGTATACGCATTTAAATTTACGATCAATTTTGAATTTCCTCATCTCGCTACCACATTTTAAATCCTAATTATATTTAACGACGTTGTTTTTGGCAAAAACGATAATTTCATTTTCCATTCATAAAGCGGGACAAACATTACCATTCGTGGAGAGGTCGTTATATACTACAAGCAATCGGCTTATAACAATAATCATAATAATTTGTTAAGCGGCCCCTAGACGATCAATAATATTGTCAATAATATTGACGAGTTAGATTGACACCCGCGTCAATGTACGTCAATCAGCTCGTCAAACACAGCCATCAATACTCATTCGGAAATATTGACAATAATGTATGGGCCACTTAAATTTCGGAAATATTGACAATAAACGCTTCTAGACGTTCAATACGTCCTGTCAATCTTGCCCGTCAATGAGCATCAATCAAAATTTCTATCAATCTCTCTCAATGATTGACAATCCATATCAATATCCTTCTAAACGATCAATACTTGCTTCAATATGGTTCCGTCAATATTATTGATACAAATATTGACAATATTATTGATCGTCTAGAGGCCGCTTTAGAGTTAGACAAATATTTAAAATACCTATATAATAGTATGTATAGTAACTTAATCTCCAAAATGTACTCACTGTTGGTAGAGAGTCGGTGGACAGCTGGGTTCAAGGGACGGGGGAAACACTCCCGATGACTTGAGCGGCCCAACGACTACGGGGCTTTTGGCGGCTGATGGCGATCTGTTGGTAGCTGCCGCCGTTTTCTTGTCCGTGTCCCTGGCGATCTTCAGTGGTGTGCAGATTTGGTGTTTGACCACGTTGGTCTGGACCGTGGAAATGGTCGCGCTGAATGCCGGTGGTTTTACCGTGGACATGACCACCTGCTGTTTGGGCACCGCCGAACCACCGGCACCCTGGAACACGGACTTCCGGGCCGAGAACTCAGACTTGCAGTAGTCCTTGTTGGGTATGGTGAGTTTATTCCGACGGACGCTCGATGAACGTCCAAACTCCTTGATGCCGTTGTGCGGAAACTGCAGTGATTTATCATCCGTCGTCAGTAATGGTGGCGGCGGCGGTGGTGCAGGCAGCAGGGATGGCTGCTGCAGTTCAATGGCGAAAGACTTGACCGGTGTCTGAGGCACTGCTTTGTGGCTGTCGTATATGTAAGACAGCGATTTTGATTTTTCGCTCATCGCGTTATGCTGATGCTGGTGCTGGTGGCCATGCATATGGTAATTGTTGTTACTGAACAATCCAGCTGATACGCCGCCACAGCTGGCATTAAAGTCTCTGCTGAGGAGCACGTCTTCGACGGCGCTAAAACTGCTCTCCAGTCTCTTCTCCTTGCCGTTGCGCAGGAACTTGTCGTTCCTCAGCGACTCGGGTTTTGGCCAGATGGCCTCCGGTGGCGGTGGCGGCAGCGGTTCATCCGATATGAACATTTGCTCGTCATCATCGACCACTGGTGGTGGGGGCGGTAGGTCTGGACTCGGCTCGCGTTTCGCTTGGGGCGTCTGCTGCCGAGCGACCTGTTTCTTCTTAGGTGGCAGTTCAGGCACCCAATCATCGATCGATATCGACGGTCCGAGTACCATGGGCCCAAGAATCGCTGTCGACAGTGAACCGCAGCTAGAACTAAACAATGTACAAAAACAAGAGGTTAGAACAACATATATACATATTTAATATTTATGTTGGTTTTTTGTCATATAACAGTTTTGCAGACAACCTATTACTTAACAACAACATTACCTACCACTTTTTGAACAAATATTTAATATACTATTAGTGAATACTCAATACAGTGCGATGATTCATTACTTCTATTAGCTGAAACCTGTTATAGTTAAGTATACATATAAAAATTTGGCAGGTAACCAGCGGAATATTCTATAACTGATTAAATATAGTAATAAATTATCGAATTTATAATTAATTTGAAAATAATCAACTTTAAAAATGCATTAAATTATTAAATTGTCAAATAAACTTATCACCTACCTACTTGGTTTGCCAAGTTTTAGAATAATATTTTACTATAGGTTGATTTATATTTCTTATAGATTAAAATGTAAAATAAACGAATAGGTATACAATAATATGTATAGTTAAGTAAACAAATTAAAACTATATTATATTTTATGGGGCCACGCTATGGCATTGATTTAAGGAGAATCATTTAGGCAATTTCTAATCTCGTCGTCGCTACAGTATGTTAGTCGTAAATGATTATTAGTGTGTCAATTGTAGCGGTACGGAGGGCTCTCCCACGCACTCACAAGCACATGTCAGTATGTAATAATGTGATAAAGAAAAAATGTTTATTTTTCACTACAACATACGATTCTAATTCCAACAAAACGTCGCAAAGATTACCCCATTAGCATTTTTTCAAAATATTTTTTTTATCACAACATCATTTTAATCTGACAATAGATTTAAAATACGAAATAATAAAACTACACCTAACTATATTTCAACTAATTTATTATATTTTAATTAGATTATAGAATTTCAAGTTTCGACATTTACGAAACTGTAAATGAATAAATAATTAAAAAATTTATAATTATATTTAAAAAGTAAATTTGTCTACTTTTTTATAGGAACAGATTTATTTTATTTGATGAATTAATCATGGATGATCATTGATTACGAATTAAAATCAATGACAAATTTAAAACGAATCGAAATATATTTAATTAAGGAGATCGAAACACACTTCATGCGTTTTAAACCCATAAACGGTTGTAAATTACAGATACTTCGGAACATCCAATTTTAATTTTATATACATGAATGAACTCTTTGCCAAAATATCTAGACATTGTAGAAATTGATTTTAAAGGACCTTAAAATTAAGATTTTTTTTAAAAATCCCTTGAAAAAATTGCATGGTACATTTGAATTTATTTTGGAAATAACTGAATATCTGATTTTAAATCAAAAAAGTAATTATAAAAGAGCATAGTCAGAAGCTTATAAAATCAACCAATTTTTTTAGAAATTACAATCAAACTCCAGGAAGTACCTATGATTTATTTACTACCGCTTTTAGTAGCTTTTGTAGTTATACGAACAAGAATATATTTAATTTTTCAAGAATTATCGACATGTTAGTGCGAGTGCAAGATTTGCATCCACTTGGAAAACACACACTGATGTTCATTTACTACTCACACATAGACATTGCCAAATGTTCATGCATGTGAATTGCCTAAATATTTCTCCTTAAAACATGATACGCTAGAGCTCCCATAATCTTATGATATATATAATAAACATAACACAAAATATGGTAATAATTTATTTTAAATAGGTGCGGTACCTAAGTAATAGATTAGATTAGATAGTTATAGATTAAAATAGTCATTTTAAAATAATGATATATTAGTTTATTTAGAATAAGTTTCAATTTTAAATAATTATGATTTATATATTTTCAACCGAAATGTTTTTAAGGGGTTTGGTATAGGCAATATAGAGTTCATCAATAATAAAATGTAAGGGGCAAATCACTTCATACATTTTTTTTAAATATATTACTAGATATTATTATATGTTTCTATTAGCAAAGGAATTATTATTGAATTTATATTTTTAACCTTCATTTTAGTTTTATTTTAATATTTTTAACCGTTGGATTTCAATGTATACCCGTACAAGAATCGTGTTGACTTAATTTGAATGAAAAATATACATAAGTATTAATTCAATATATTTTGTAACTCTATAGTGTATTATGTACCTCCTGAGCGGGTTGTTTTTACTGAGTTCCTTGGGGTTGGCGTTGCTTGCTTCTTCGGCTGAACTGTCGTCTTTCGAACAATCCTGCGGACATAAAGTAAAATGAGACACACAATAAGCAATATTATAATGCATTATCGACGAAGGTAAAAATAAAAGCGGTTGTGGCCACAGTTATATCACTATAATAGCCAATAGGTACCAATACTAAACTATACGAAGACTCAAGACAATCATATTATACTATTATAGATATCATTATGAGGCAGAAACATTATTTTATATTTAAGGTAAGACATTCTAAAAATACCAATATATAGTTTCATCAAGACTGATAAGACTGTTATCGTGGAGTATTTTTTTGGACCTAGGCTTTTAATTTATCTAATTATAATAATTGTATCTATACCGATACAATTGTCAAGTTAACATTAAAGATTCTGCAAGAAGTTGATAAATGTATGGCGTCTTGGAGGAAACCTTTCGTATCAAGTGTTGTATTAAAAAAATGTCGATCTCTCCCAGCTTGGGCGTGCTTTAGGTACTCAAATTGACTTTTGAGTAATATATTATAACGTGCTTCCGCAGTTTGAGAAATTGACATAGGTACAAGTCTCTTCCGGTCACCTATTTACTCTGGATAATGCCATAGTGCTGGTATACGTATCCCGTACCCGAAATTCAAACGAAGGACTAGAAGGTGCTAGGGGACAACTTACATCGTTCCAAGTGGCCGGAGAGTCGTATTCAGACGAAATGGACGAGCGCCTAGACAGCGGAGTGGGCAACCGTGGACGACAGGGTATCGGCGGAGGCCTAGGTGGCGGTGGCGACAGCTGAGGCTCAGACCGCCATGACGACCCGGGCTGGTGTCTCTCGTAAAACGACAATAAGGCCCTTTTCTGTATGGCCCTCAGAGAGTGGTCCGCCACTCTGTGCTTCTTTTCCGGGTCGAAGTACGTGAACTTGTTGGGCGTTTGCTGTAGCTGTTGTTGTTGTTGCTGCTGCTGCTGTTGCTGCTTTTCCAGTTCGTTGATACGTTCAGCCACTGTCAGTGCTGGCGGAGATCTAAAAACGGTTTCAAAACAGACGTTCAAATCTGTCTGCACAGTAAGTTGTACTATTATACATGTGTATACACATGATCACAACAATATGATCTAATGAATAACGTAGGTACCGTTTATTTATAAAAAAATATAACCATTTACATTATGTATAATGTATAATATGTATGCAGTACAATTGTACACCTCCCGATTTTAAGCAAAAACTGACGAAATGTAATTTTTTTTTGTATTTAAAGATTAAACAGCCAATCGACATCGAGCTTTTTTAACGCGTTTGATATTTTATCAAAGTGAGATAATTAGAATACGGCTAAAGTATGCTTATAAATTATAATATTATAATAGTGTGGACTGAGGAGAAAGCTTGTGTTACACAACCGTGTCTGATATATATACGACACAGAAATAAAACGCATTATACTTTAACCCTAGTCATTTGGAATAATAAGAAAAATAAGATAAATAAATTTGATAAGAGTGTGGTATTATGCATAAGCAGATGACGTCCTAGATGTGAATGGAAATAGAAAACTAAATTTTGATATAAATCTTAATAGTATAATAATAATAAAAACGTCGAACAATACAAATTGTGGGTACATCGTCAAATGTAGTGATAACGGATCGTTCAATAATTACTCGAGACCACGTAATAATATTAATAATTCATTATTGACATTATATATGAACACACAGATGTATAAATAATACGTAGTCCTACTGCGATTGTGTAATGTTTATCCACAATAATATTAACAAAGACAAAGACGACAATAAGGAGTATTATTGATGTGACATTAACTTTGACTTTCGAGTTACGGATTTAATGTGGGATTGTGTTTGTTTTCGTCACAGTGGTCCCAAATACATTAAAATACGACAATATTAAACTCATAACTGGTACTTAATGGGTAAAATGAGTTTAACAATTTAATGTTTTATAATATGTGATATGTCAAAATTTTACAAGCATAAACAAAATAATAGATAAGTATGCAGCGCAGTCGTTCGTACTTTGGTGAAGTCTTTTCGTCTACGACCATGGCCGGTTGTACCGTGTACGTGCTGACCGGAAACAATTTCCGGATATTTCTCTGGTTTCCGACCCTGTGCTCCTGGACGCTAACGCCCGACCATCCATCGGTTACGCTCATCACCGACTCCGAGTGATGTCTCTGCGGCGCCGACACCTTGGCGCTGTGCGCAATGAGCTGGGTGGTTGCTCGGTGGTGCCCGCCACTGGACACGGTGCTCAAGTCACTGTTGGAACCATGCCACTTGAGCGTTTCACTGGACGAACCGGAGCTGGCGCTCGAGTCCCTCCCCTGGGTCAAGGAGGGTTTCTCCGAGTCTTTGCTATTGACGACCACGACTGCTGATTCGCTATCTCTCCTTAACCTGAAAATAAGTAGTCCACCATCGTGTTATACAAATGGAATCTCCAAAAAAGGGTTATTCGAGACATTTTATTTAATCCAATTATATTTTATACCTGTCCAGGAACGGAGTTGACGTGGAGTCGGTGCTGGACACGTAACTGTGGTACCCTTCGCTCTGCGCATACGAGGTCTGGTGTTGGTGCGAGGGCACCGTTTTTTCGGTCAGGCTGATCTGGGACGTGGACTTTTCCTCGTATATCCGCGTGTAATGCTCCAGCTCCTCCTTGGTCAGATGGCTGGACAACGCGCTGTCGCTACCGTCGAAACAGCTTGAGTACTCGTCTGTTTCTCGCTGCGGAAACGGAAAACACGATTTTCAAAAATATACAACAATATAAATTATAATAATAATATACGTCGACGTTTCCGCCAAAGAGCCTATATATATATTAGTAAATATGAAATCCGTCACTAACGTGCGGCGAGTCGTCGTAAGCTCTGGAATATTTTTCTAGCTGCGCTTGCGTGAGCTGAGACTTCGGGTCCGTCGGATCCGACAAGGCGGTCGTCGATAATGGCACACAAAAATGTTTCTCAGCGGTCTGCTGCAGTCTTTCCACGTAACCGCCACCACCGCTTTTGGTTCTCATCGACCGCACCCGGTCCAGCAGCTCGGGTTTGCCTTTTTCGCAACGCTCCATCACGGTCTTCAACTGCTCAAAAAAAAACGGTCCATGCCATTAGTATTGCATAAAAAAAATAATATTAATATGTCACACCGTGTAATATTATGTAACGTGAATACTAAATATACGATCAATAGACAATAAAATACAATATGTCTTCATGACATGACAATAATAATCGTCCCTAAATTGTGCTATCATTACATCATTATTTTGATTAGATGTATTTATATAAAACTACATAATATTAATCGATGGTATGGGCTGAGTGGTGTTACCCCGTCACATGTATATAAATATATATATATATACAGGTATATACGAACAATGGCTCGGGGTCAAAAACTTCGGCGGCATCTAAGTCTGGCCGACAGCATATTATAATATATTGTAAGCCCTAATACTCAAACCGGTTTCGTTAAACAAACATTTATCCGAGCACCGCTCCACCACCATACACACCGAAAGTGTTTCGCTCGTTATTCGCATCCGACACGCCTGGTTCTCCGCGGTGAGCGAGGCCCGTCCGACGACAAATCGATTCGCGGCGAACGCACCGGACACGGTTCGTCAACACGAATAGTAGTGCACCGGAATTTTTAGCGGGAGAAGAGAGTTCGACATCGACGATAAACATAATTGTAAGATAATATTATATTGATAACGAGAGTGTGAAGTGTGTAATATGTACAACATAAGGCGAGCAGTGTGCTACAGGTCAGCGATCAGAATTCGAAAAATCGCAAGGACACGAGGATAAAATATATGAACACACGACGTTAAACACCCTGGACGAGTGCACGTCGTGGGTCCGGTTGAATTAATACCTGTTAGAAATTACACAGACTGCAGTTTAACCCATGATCTACACACTATCCGTCGCTGCAGCTGAACATACAGACGACTGCTGCTACAAGTCGAGTGCACCGACTTCGGAGGAATCACAAAAATGCACGGTCGCGCATACCGCGTCCTTTGCCTGGCACGCAGTCGTCATCGTCATCATTATCGTCAGAGCGCTTATTTCCGAGAACGTTTTACCCAGAGTATAATATTATTATATAAATTTACCGCTCGATAATCGCAGGGTATAGGCTCTTTTAGGAATATTTTTACAAACGAAACTGTACATCATTGTATGCGTGGCGAACTAAATCGATATTTCAAACGTCTCAAATCGTCGTCGCCGACGACGGGGAGGTGTGACCCCGGGAGGTATAATATGTTATTATAATGCCGGCGATCGCGCGAAACAACATCGATTATTAACAACGACCACACTATTTACAATGATCGACACCGATCGGATTCGGTTGTCGGAACGAGAGCGCGCGCGCGACGACCACGAAATCGCCAATAATATTATTATTATTACACAGCCGCTGCGATAAATATTGTAATCATGATATTATATTATATTTTAAGGCGTGTGTCGTACCGGCGGAGCGTGAAGCGTCCGAAGACCGCGCGATTCAAAGTCAGTGACCCGTCTCGAGACGGACACGGCCGCGGCGGCGTCGTCGTCGTCAAGTCGCACATTATAATATATTACTGTACGGCCAATAATGTCGCGCCGCGGTACACTTTAAAATAATATTATGAACTATAGCGGTGAAATTATTATTAATTATTCGTGAATCGAGCGCGGGCGGGGTCGGTGTTGTATGTGTACATAATTTTATTATCATAATACCGTCTCGCCTAGTGTTACGATAATATATAAAATCATATTAATATTATGTATCGTCATCCTGAGTTTTCTGAGAGAGGAAATTTCGAACCAATTAATAACGGTTTTGCAACGATTTCGACCGGCAAGACTATCTGTTCGTTTTTATCTTTACGTTTTGTCGAATATTATACTCCTCCTCCGATATTTTCTACATATTTTTCCATCGACTTTCACCAATCCACTCGCGTTCCACGAGCGCGTATTATTATTAAGTCATGATAGCACCTAGGCTGTGGCCGCAGATGCGACGGCGTTTTAGGCGAACGCACCAGACATCATATTATCGCGTACAAAAAGCCGCGACGATAAGACGTGTAATATAATATAAAACATATTTGTGTACACGAAAGAAGATCGAATGACGAGATGATTTCTCACGCACGGGTCCTAATTTTTCCCAGTTTCCACGTCAGCGTGGGCGGCTCGACATGCGCATGATAATAATAATAATTAATATTCTATCGGTTAGGTAAATATTATTACTACAACTACTACAGACTGTATATTTTACAATATTCGTTTAAATAGTATTTATATTGTTTACTTGTTGCGTGTACAGCCCGTTGGACAGTCTCTTGGGATACGGCCGGACGATGGGCGGCGGTTGTTCCTTCGGGTAACTATTGCTGCTGCTGATGCCGCTGCTACCCGTCTGCTCTTCCGCCCAGGACTTTCTGGCCGCGGTGACGGACATTCCATTGCTTTTGACGGTCGTCGCCGTGGCGGTGGTGACCGGACAGGATGGAAATTTTTCGTGTCCGCAAACCGCGTCCTTGACCTATAAAAACGGTTTATTTGTATACACTTACATGTTTGCGTTTCTTTATCATCGTAAACATACTACACACACATGCAACGATGTGGTATTATATATTATATTATTATAACGACGTGGACAATACATGGCGAAAACCCCGAATCTTAACGAAAGTGTCGGCGATACTATAATTATTCGGATTGACCTTGTCGTCGGAAATAGATAATGAAATACAACGTGAGCATGTTATAATTATTGTTTATAAATTAACCAATCGGTCGAGACAATAATCGGAGACCTCATTGTTTCTGTCGGTAGTGCGTGCGGCAGCGTTCGTATTAGTCTGCATGGTAGTTGGTACATAATATAATATAATAATGCAACAAGTACGCCGCCGCCGAGTATGTTGTTGACGAACGAGAGACGGAAAAAATTCCGTCGGATATGCGGCGGCGACTATGATTCTTCCGACTACATCGACCTCAAATTCGTCCTTGAAGGAGATCTTTTTTTTGTTTTTTCATTTAAGTACCATTGTATAAGCCGAACACCCACGGACGGAATTTTTTCATATTTTTTATACGCGCACACGACGTGCATCAATCGATATAATATAACTGGTTCATCATCACGTCGACGAAGAGCACACCGTACCTGGTTCGACTTCGAGTCGTCGAGTATAATATATTTATGATGAATAATCGTACTGTCGATATTATAATAATATTATAGATATAATATATAGTATATTATACACGTAGAAAAAAAAATGGAAGTAATATATTTTCAAATGCCTTATGATATTATGCGTTATGCCAATACGATTTCGAATTTATTTTAAAAACATTTTTATGATAACTCTTGTTTGTGATGCACAAACTATGTAGGTAACAATTTATTATTTAAAACGACATCGATGGAAAATAAGAAAATGTGTATAATTATTGACACGTGTTTCATAAGGAATGATTATAAGTTTTATTTTCTGCACCTGTAGCATTAAATTATTTCAAATGCAATTTATTATCTCATAAGTCATGACGTTAAGTATTTTGTACGCCGTACGGAATTGCATTAAAATAACCCAGTGAATTATTTCTACAGCAATGTTTTTGTTTTTAAACACATTCAATTTCTTAAGGAGTTATTTTTTATGCATATAATTATATTAATTTTAACGATGTTTTCCACGGTTCCCATTCGCCTCGGAGTGTTTATCTGTTTTAAATTAAAATATACGTAGGTAGAGACTAGAGGTGGAGAATATAGTGAATACTATATACTATAGGTATTATATTATGATATTGGAATTTAAAATAACTTAAAATATTATAGGAAACGGAATAATATAACAAACAATAGTTAAACATCATTAGCGAATGCGGTAAACTATTAGCTGGTTACAAGAAACATGAGCCATTAATGAAGCAGGTTTTCGTAGTAAAATCTTATAGAAATTCGTGCATTTATTCGAGGTATGCGACGCGATACGATATTCCGGAAACTCACAGCGAACAAACAGATAAAAGCACAAGAAACGTATAAAATATTTCGGCAATAAATTACCGACAGTAATAACACTAATGAGTTGTTGCTAAAAACACAATAATGTCTTATATAATACATATTGATGTTAATATTATATCGATTTTTAAAGTTCCACTGTGATAAATCATTACGAGCCCACTATTTTATTTTCATAGTTTTAATTCTTTGCTTCCTTTCTGCAATATACCGAATCATACATTTACACATACGCGCAGAACATATTTTAGATTCCCCGTAGATCAGTATTTAGTTTAATTTATTATTACATTACACTAATGCACGCTGCGAGTTGTTAATTTGTAATTTAACTTTCTAATTGTATATTAATTATATTAATTAAAATAATAATGGTTGGCTCCCCTATTAAATAACGCTTTCCAATGATTCACCGACGAACACGGAACACAATAAAATTGTGTTCCTATCAGCCTAACCCGAGATAATATAAAATATAAATAGTGTAATAATGTATGATATCGTTATAGAAGTTTGCAGTCAGTATTCGTCGAAAAACAAGTTCGGAGATAAATATAGAGTGGTACCCGTTATAGGTATATTGTATATTATTATTATGAGCACACACGCAGAAGAAATTTATGATAAATTTTTGTGGTTTGATATGGGTGTTGTAAATATTGGACGAATATAAAAAAAAAACATTTAGATTAAATTTTTTCGTGCTATACCACAAGCTGTTGTGAAGGTAACAGAATAAATTAATCTATTAGATGTCATAATAATAACCACGGAAGGCGTTTAATAAACTTGATAAAAAAAACCGTCGATTACACACGAATGTCAACTCGTCCTGTCGTAGATAGTATACGGGGTGGATGATTCACCAAACATAATTTATGCAATTGTACATTTATTAAAATTCTGAGTTATTTTATGAGTCGTCATAAATTATGACCTTTGAAATACTTAGATTTTTTATGGCATTTAAGGAGTGACGTCTTTCAAAATATGAAAACCATCCAATTTTACTGTAAATTGTCGAGCACATTGATGCGTCTAATTTTTTTTCAGCAGGGACATTTATAAAAAAAGTTCAGCTACCCCAACCCACTTTTATATCAATAGGCGGAATGACGGGTAAATTACAATAATCATGGTTATGATTAAATTAAAATTTTTTTTTTTCAATGATATTTAATAATGTATCCACACAATGCAATAAACCATGTGCAATATTATATTAAAATGGGTTATTATATAAAAAAAATTTAAACAAAAAACTCACATCCACGGGTGGCAGTGGGGCCCTGTGTCGGGGTATGTGTCCGTCGCAGGTTTCAGTCATGCGGGCCGTTACTCGACCAGACTTGACGCCGTTGTTGCCGTGCGATGAGCGGTTTTCCTTGCTGCTGGGCAGTTCTCTGATGGTGGCCACGGCGGAACAGTTGGCCTTAGCGAACGATCCATCGTTTCGTGTTCTATTGTAAAAAAATTCAAAATTAGTCCTCTTCAATGCAAGTATAATATTATGTATAGAAGCGACCAGAAAAATTATTTATAACACCCATACACACACTACGCAATACCAGACATTTTTGTATGGGATCATCTCCAATCAAGAAGTCTATTATTGACATTACATTAAATGTTTTTATTAACAAAATTGTGTGCAAGGGATTTTCCTCCTCCCTGTTTGGACCCAATGTACAGCCCTTCAGCTGCGACCGCGAATGTATAATACATTTTTAAATATTAAATAACATTGTGCTTATTATAACGAGTATATTATAATTGGTGCGGTTCGTATTAAAATTAAAAAAACCGAAAGGCGCCGGAAGCGTGGTACCGTAGGTATAAACAAAATAATATTATATTAATAGGAGGCAGTCGTCGCGCTCGCATTCGCGATTCGCCGCAAGACCGTGACGGATCGATGGTCTCGTAGCAATGGTATTTTTTAATTTGAATCATCGTAATTATCGTTATTTTTTCTATAATGACATTTGAGACGAAAAAAATGTGCAACAAAAAATACAACCGCTGCGGCAGAATAATATTTTAGTTGATTGTCATTATACAAGAACCGACCGAGACGCGATTACACCAATGGATGGCGCGTCCGAAACCTGGTGACACTATAAACCTGCAGGTTATTATATTATTATTATATTATTACTTGTTAGTTTTTAATTAGTAAAAAATTGCTACATGACTACTGTTGTTTAGTTTATTTACGGTTAGTAGTATGGATGCAATGTGTGCAAAGTGTTGAGGGAGGCTGATCGACGGACCTAACAATGATACCCGAATTACACCGGGTACATGGTAGCGTAATATTATTCTGATCTGAAAAGGGGTGGTTACGTAATCGGTGGAAAAGTAGCCTTTTCGTTATTAAAAAAAGACAGCCACTTTATCAAAATATTGAACAGTCAACAACATGAGTAAAAATTTAAATTGTCCCTACAGGTAATTCACTTCTCAAAATTTGCAGAACGTATGTTAAACTGTTCGAAGATAACCGGCAGATATAAAAATGACGACCATTATCAATTATCATATTATTATTATGTGTAGGTATAAAATGTAATATTGTATAAATAATGCGCAAACGTTATAATATGTATTATATATATTATATATTAAGATTTAGTATAAAATATTATATATTTATTATTATAAATTTGAATATTTTCACTATTACTATTAATTTAAATCCGTTCCCTACAAATTATCAACATAAGATAACAGCAGTGTATATCTGTCGTGCGTGTTTATTGTAATAAAAATAAAAATAATACGGGCACGCATATTATTGTATACAATTCATCGACATCACATGATTTATGCGCATACCTCGCGCATACATCGCGTCATAACAGGTAATAATAATAACATGAATTTATTATAAATAGAGTTCTTTTTATATACTAACGAGATGTAATAATAACAATAATAATTAATAATAATAATATACTTGCAGGCCACGACATGGTCATAGTACTATTAATTATTATAGAGGTATGACACCTTCGTCTGGACACAGATATCGTAGTCACTATTTTGTTGTCAGGCTCGGGGTGTTTTCGTACAATATAATATTATAATAACGAGTATAGTTCAATGGACGTTACTGGGTGCGCGCAAATAATTCCACGAATTGAAGTTGTGTTTATTATTGTGTGTTATACTAATAATAAAAAATATATAATAATAATAATATATGAAAATTCATTATGGCAAACCACAGAGTGCACGTTTGAAGTGTTTAAAACCGGTTTTATGGTATATTAAAATCGCGTGCGTGCGTGCGTGTGCTTGGTACGTTCGGTTAAATCGTCCGAAATGCTTTGTCACTCGACATCGTCCACAAGTATGAAAAAAACAACAATTATTTCTTTTTTATCAGTTTGCGCATTACACGGCTGAATCGTACGTGGTTTAAAAAGAATCAAAACGGTGTGGACGTGTGGTATACGAATAATATATTTGCAGTGATCTCGTTTGAACGATGGTACGTTTAATTAACCATAGATTATCAATTTTACTTGAACTTTTAACCATGGTAATGAAAACTAATTTTGTAACGTTGTAATAACGCATAAGCTTTGACGCGAGTATGTTTTTGAAATATTCGTCAAACATTATGTACGGTTAGACAAGAAAGCCGGGGTCATATCTACATACGTCGTCTGTCGCGTTGAGCTTGGTGGCCTAAAGGTACGTGGATTTACCTGGTTAGTTAAGATGGGTTTGATGGGGTTAGGATTGGTAACATATTAGTTACCTCATAATATATTATATTCTTATGTTATCGATATACAGCCGTGTACAGGAAATTGTCGAAATATATATCCCACAACACGGTATCGTGGTTAATCGTGTGTTAGTAACGTATTAACACTCTGGTATACTAAAAGCTTACAATGTACACCAACCATCACAGAAAAGTATTTTTAAATTGTATTCACGTACACGCAAACGTGTATATTGGAAACCCGCCTTAACTCAAGAAATGTCCTGGTAGATCATGGTCATTATTACAACGGCCAATCATAATATGACAAAAGGCTACGACGACGTGGCTATGTCCCGGCTTGAGCCTTAATTAAGACGATCCTATTGTTTACCACAATATCGCCTCTTATACAAAAATATAATAATACCTTATTATACTTATGTTATTTTATGAACCGACGAACTGCGGTTTTGCTACCTAAAAATATATTATTAATATAATTTTTTATAATCCGTACACTGCATGGTGCATGCGCTATGTAAACAACAGTAATAATTACCATTATCTTTCAGCACTGATTATGTGCCGTCCTCCCAATATGATTCTTATGGGGGTGTATTATATTGTATTCCATATAACATAATAATAATAATATAATAATAATATGCGTATACACACACAGTACATGTGCACGGCCGAATGATTTATGTGTCGGAGCTACCGAATTTCCCGAGGTCACGCCCACCTCTGGCCGTATATAATAATAATAATATGATTATTATTCCGGGATATTTTATTATATATTAGCCAGCCGCCGCGAAACGCATCGCAACACTGCTACGGCACAGCCTCCTCCGAGCGGGAGATAGTAAAAAACGAGAATAAAATTAAAATGCAAGAGACGGACCGGGCCGCGCACGCATTCCAGACATTGTCGGGAACCGGTTGTGGCCGGCGGGTTTCTCAGGGGAATGATATAGAAGTACTGGCTGAAACGGCGATATTGCATAATCCGGACTTCCGACCTACAGGTGTTGTAGACAGCGAACTCGGCATCGACCTTTGCAACGGAAATCAATAAGAAACACAACAATGCGTTTTGGAACAACGCAAGTGGCGAAGCTTTTTCGGGTCAAGTATCGATCGAACTATCAAAGTTTTGAAAAAATTGCACGTTACAGACTTACAGTAACATCATGTTGATATCAGATAGGTATACTTTATAGTTTATACACTTTCTTCTCGGAGTGTTCGGAAATTTGAAAGAATTTTTGAGATCAAATGTGTCGTGTATATTGTATTACTTTTAACTAAACGCAGCATCAACTTCATCCAGTGGAGTATTCACTAATTTTTGGGGGGTGTGGGGAGTGGATGACAGTAATTTTAGTTTACAGAGTCAGGGGGGGGGGCTACAATATTTATATAATAATACATTTATTTAAAGAGCTACGTGGGAGGATCTGCAAATACGCCCCTGCCTTCATCTATCGCAATGAATATCATTCCGCATTTGTTATGCGGAAAACTGGAAAATTAACTTTCGGAACTTTATATGTATTTATAAGCATAAATAATAATATTGATTGTAGCTACCTATATGCCAAATGGAATGAGCCACTTTTTTCGGCTGAAAGTAAGTTCCAGACTATCAACAAAATTAGAGTTATGTGTAATTCCTTACAATTTAGAAATAATCAATTATCATTTTCAGTATAGCAATATTTCAGTACCTAAGTTGTATTTTGTTAAGTCAAAATATATTACTTGGTTAACCGCGGAAGGCTACCGATCGATACAGCATCGGTTCGGGACGGGGGAGGGCTCATATTATGGAGCACGCCAAAACGTTGGCCAGACATGGTCGTTTTTTACAATATTATGTTATATTGTATCTACAATCAATTAATGATATAGTTAACAGGTGATCGCCGGGATGATGATCTGTGTGGGAAACAACGACATCGATCGGCAGGTAGGTATTCAGGCCGCGCGACAAGGTCGGCGAAATTTTTTTTCGCGCTTTTTCCCTTCGTCGCGACCGTTTACCGTTACTTAAACGCCACCACGTCGCGCGTCAGTAACGGTTAACGATTTATGTGTGGACGGAAGAAAGATTATATTATTATTATAAACATAATGCCATGTGTGCGGAAACACCTATATATAGGGGGAAAAAATGACGATACATATCGCATCGTTGACTATGCTGTTGTTGTTATTATTATTAATTATTGTATAACTCCTACAATCTACACCTTCGTACGTTATAGTATAGTATCATATAATGTTTTATGTATATTTCGTGTACACACACCATATTAAAATATGAACGCGAAAACCGTTTAAACAATACGGTGGCTGCGGCTCAAGTAAATTAAGGTAAGGTACTACATAATAATATTATATGTGTGTGGAGTCTGCAGCGGCAGTAAACAGTCGCGTGTTCGTTATTGTCGTCGTCACCCGCGACGTCCGATGATGACGTCCATTGTGTTCGCGGTATATTGTATTATATTATAATATATTATTGTGTATGCGCGAGCTTCCTACACAAAATGTTATAATTATTATGTAATGAGCGCGTGTTACTATATTATTAATCACGCGCACTTAGAAGGTCACTAATTTGAGTAGTTTTTAAATTGTATAGATAACTGCAGAGCTTAATATACTATATGTAATTAGTGTATACCTATATCATTACTATAACGGGTCCGACGCGAAATACCGATAAACGCTGCAGCGGTAGTTATAGATCTATAATCTAATGTAAATATAAGAATACCTACATTATTACTGTACAGCGGTATATTATTATATTATTATGTCACGTTTGTTCTGCTGCAGCGTGTGCATGAAAATAGAGATATCAATAATCGTATTCGAGGGGCTTCAAAGAGGAAACATATTTTTTTTAACGGTCCGAATTGTTATATTATACACGGACGGAAGTATCGAGTACCAATAATGCACAATAATTTAGTGCCACAAATGTTTTACAACGAGCTTCCCCGACCGCCAGCCGTCTGTACATTCTGTACATTAGACGCATAAATAGTACACTCGTCGGAAGGAATGCGTACGCGTGCAAAAGAAACGATGAAAAAATAAAAAGTGATTCGACCGGAAAAAACTGCTACTGCAACGAGCGAGACCTTACTGCTCGATCGGAAAACGTATTAGGTATACGTTTTATATTATGTTGTGCGTTCATTTTCCCTTCCCCGAGTGCAGTACCGCACACTTCTGCGGTGGCTATTTAAGAGTGTTTTTTCTTCTTCCATATAATATTTTGAGTTTGAGCAAAGAAAACGCAGATAATTATAGAAGTATTTACTAAACGGTCACGCGGTAACCCGATGAAAAATTCAACTTGCGGAGACAATATTATAAATTATAACAATTAGTTTTAAGAGAAAATGCAAAAGCTAAACATTTAAAACATTGACATTCAGATATCGAAAAAACGCAGCGGGTTCAAAAATATAGAAACGTGATTCGTATTATGGCGCTTTTTCATCGAGACAACCCACGTGATACTCACGTCGTGGGGAGGTTTTACTTTATTTGCAGCACAACTGAACAATCGCGGGTCACTCGACCGCCGACAATATATTATATGCTATGTACAAGTACAACAATAATAATCTCGACGAGACGTGTTTGAAATATAATTCGTAATAATAATTATTGCATAATAATAGATCCGTGCCCGGGCGGCAGAATAGCAGTCAGTTGAACTTCACACTCGCAGTATAAATTATTCAGACGCACAGAGGTGTGCACACGCGCGTACCTATTAGTATAGTAATAACTGTATAATCGTCGTCGAGTAGTAATTACGACGGTTTTTTTTTAGCAGTGAATAATTCGGGGAAACCACCTCGCGCGTTAAAAAACCCCGACCGAGGTTATTATATTATGCGTTACACGACCGAACATAAAAAGTTTATAATACATGTTTCGATCGGTCAAATTATTCACAGTAGATTATACTATACATTGCGCATTTCAAACCGTAGGTATTTGTTGCATTCATCTCGTGAGATTTGATTTTAGACTTTAAATAATACACCGCCTCTACTGTCGAAATGTTGGATCCGATGGGATAATTCAATCGACATATTTTTTGACGTCTGACTGTCGAGAAAATATTGGAAAATTTTTGTACATCGACGCACCACTGTTTAAATAATACTAAGTTAAAACGTATGCAGATCGTTATTGTTACATACCAAAATTTGTGTTTTCATCAATGCAACAGCATATATGATTTTCGTTAAACCAAATTCGAAAGATATGTGCCGGAATTATGTGAGTTTATTGTAATGTATAATTACGCGGCCATAATGCGGGTCACACGAGCACAGAGTAACTGAGCGTAGGACGTCCTCTTTAAAGCGAATGTGTGTCTATATAGTACATGGTATACCTATTGGTATGTTGTTAACTGGTATGTGCGGTATAGTAATTATGTATACGCGACGAGAGACCTTTGACCACACAATATTAAATACGGGGGTGACTAAGCCGAACGCTACGAAACGATTTCAATGTTTTATGTCCTTTCTTTTCACGTACATGGTACACATTATATTATATTATATGTTATTATTATTATATTTATTAAAAATTATATTAAATTATTATTATTATTACAATATATACACTACGGCGACCACATAATAATATAGTGTCATTATTATTATTATTATTAAACGTCGCCAAATCGATTTATAGCTATCTGCACCATCAAACGAAATAGTATAATATAATATTCGTTGCATCATAACGTCAAGCACCTTATGGTATATAATATGTGTCTCGCCGACCGTACTAATAACTTTGCAGCAGTAGTGTCTAAACATTATAAAACGCCCACGTGCGGCATATAAAAAATTCCGTCACATTTTCACTTTCGCCTCGGACCAAATGTTTTTAACGCCGTTAACGACACTTGTTCATTATTTCCATAAAATTCCATAAAATTAACATCGTAAATCGTCATAATAATGTATCGTAATGCACATACCGTGCACGTTTCGTACCTATGTTAGCTACTATTATTATTATTATTATCCTGTATCCATACGGTTTTATTTATTTATATTCGCGACCGATGGACTTATCTCGTGCTATAGTTACCGCGTCTATGGTATGCGTAACAAACACTTATATACATAATATTATATACACAAGCACAACACATGTGTTTTGTGCATTGGCAATGAAAACCGGTTGTTTTGTGGCCGTGAACCGGTGTCGCCGGCCGAGGAATTTTTGCACTTGTCCGACCTAACCTACGAGCGGAGCGCGCACCGTTCGATCGCGGCGCACACACTGTATAATAATATAATACATATATAATACCTAATATAATATTATACAGACTTCAAGACTTGTATTATATTATATACGCCGTACACACGACACACACGCCCCTCGCGCCAGCCCGACTGCGCTTTTAAGCGCGAATTCATTAAATCCTAGTAAAACGCCTTCCCTCGGCACTTTTCGCCGGGAGTTAATCTCCTGCAGTATTATGATACTAAATAAAAATAAGCGCGTTGTGTAATTATGCGATCTGTGAGCGTTGTATATTATAATATTATTTCCGAACGCGGCGATTATAATAATTATTATATCAGATGTTGTACTCATATATTTTACATACACGATACACACACACAATAATAATAACGAGCTCCGACGTCATCTCGGTCGTCAGTATAATATAATATTAAAATAATAATAAGTAACGAACGAAATTTTTTCTCCAAAAAAATTGACAAACGGGCGACATTAACTATACTCACACGCACGCGCGCACTGCACACACGGCTCGCCGACGCTCGAACCGGTGTTGCCGGTCAAAACGTTTTGACAGGCGGAATTTTAATGAGAGTCTGATGATAATTGAGAACAGCGCGCCCACGCAACCGACCGTGTAATGGATACGATTACGGCGGCGAACGAGGGTTTTGCAACCTGTGCAAATGGACCAAGCCATTAGAGCGGGCGGCGGACATGACGTGTATCAGCGCGGCAGCTCCACTTGCGTCTATTACAAATCACAGAGCGATAACGCGTGAAGAATCGTCTCGAGTCCGCTCGGCTTCCATACTACATGACGTGTGTTAAAATATTATTACTAATATTCAGTCCTGTAAAGTATTTGAGTAAAAGTATTTGAGTAAAAGTATTCAAATACTTTTTTAAGTATTGAATAACTTTTTAAATACTTTCAGCATGAAGTATTTTGAATGGTATTTTAAATACTTTTTTTTGTATTAAATACTTTTTGGTATTGAATACTTTGGTTTTTTATTTCGAACATTTTATTTTTATTCGAAATAATTTTAGAAATTTTAGAATGAATTAAGAACACAAAATAGGTAGTATCACCAATGAGTGGTTTCTTCCCAAAAAAAAAACAAATCATACGCAAATACCCTATGCACATTTGCTTATTGTTCTAGTTAAGAACAGATTGTAAATTTCATGTAAAAATAAAAAAAAAAATGTAATAAACTTTTATTAAATAAATAAAAATAAAAATGATTATAAATTTACTACCTATGTGTCTATATTACAATAATTAGAAACCCACTTTAAAAACCAAAAGTATTTGAAAAGTATTCCAAATACTTTTTCAAAGTATTTGAGTAGTATTTGAAATACTATACAATTAAAGTATTTGAGTAGTATCTTAAATACTTAAAAAAAAATGTATTTGAGTACTTACTCAAGTACTTTTCAAAAGTATTCTTTACAGGACTGCTAATATTATAATATTATAGGTGGCTACCTGAATACCTTTATTATACCTATTATGCAGCGCGTGATGATGTTAGTGGTT